GATACGAGGCCTGGAGGACAGCTCTCTGTCGCTCGTCATTGTGGACTGTAGGTGCAGGCGCACTCGCCTCCAGGGGCTATGCGCGAAGCTTGTGGCTTTGGGATCATCATGGCTTGTAAGCAGTCAAGACCCTTACAGCTGCCGGTTGTATAAAGAACCAGGCTTTGCAAGCGCCCCATGCGCTTTTGGCATTTTGCAAACATTTCACATTTGAAGACATCTTGCCTGATCTCTGCACTCCGCTTCACTCGTGTCACATCATCCAGCTGCACTTAAGGTTCAAGCTGCAACTCAGCCCTGTAAAGCCTAAAACGTGATGTCCACTGCCTTCTTGTGGTTTCTAAATGTCTTTGCAGAAAAGTGACGCAAATACTCAAGTCTAAACCACGAGTGCTTGTACATACAACTTACTGACTTACTGTCGCACAACATTCTTTCTTACATGGGCAACCTCTGGTCCGGCCAGCCTTTGACGGTGCCGCTTTGTTTTCCACGTAGTGCTTCTGATTGAAAGCCTGGGGGGAGGCTGCACGTCATTTTACGTTTAAAAACCTGTCAAAGAGACTCTTCTATTGAACTAGTGCTGCCAGTGTCACAGTGGATACATGTACAAATGCTGCCGGTTCTGCTGCCGCCACCACTATTTCTGCTACTGCGCCGCTGCTTCTACTTCCACTATTACTACTACTCCTACTCCTACTCCTATTCCTTCCTCCTCCTGCTCCTACTACTACTACTACTACTGCTACTACTACTACTACTACTACTACGACTACGACTACGACTACGACTACGACTACGATTTGCTACTGCGGCTGCGGCTACTGCTACTGCTGCTGCTACAACTGCGACTATTAGTAGTACTATTACTACTGCTACTACTACTACTACTAATACTACTACTACTACGACGACGACGACTACGAAAAGTGCGGTTGCTTCCCTGGCCCAGGTCAGACACACTGCGGCGAGACATGGCTAAAGGCGAAACTACTTGTCACCGAAGCCGAAAAATCATGAAACAATGTACTTCGTCGCTCCCCCATTTTGCACGTCTCAACATCTACATTCTTCCAAAAAAAGTGCTGAAACTCCTGCGCTGGCCTCACAATCCGAAACCCATGTCTGGAAGCAAAGCGCAAAGCCAATGGCGTCAAACAAGCGACGACGACGACCCTACTACTACTACTACTACTACTGCTGCTACTACTCCTCCTACTACTACTACTACTACTACTACGATGATGATGACAGCTGCTGCTGCCACGCCACCGTTACTGCCATGACTGCAGTAGCATCAACAACGACGAGCAGTATTGCTGCATCATCATCATCATCATCATCAATCATCATCAATCATCATCAATCATCATCAATCATCATCAATCATCATCAACGTCATGATCACCATGATCATCCTTATTGTCCTCATCAGTGTTGCTGCAGCAGTGGCGAGTCGTTGTCATGACTGCTCATACCCATATCCGCATAACAGCCAGGAAACGTTTGCGAACTCCTGGCTCTCCACGACTCCATCCTGCAGTCTTCCCGGGCTCTCTACTTTGTACCTTTTGCCGCAAAAAGTCTCGTGATGTGGAGTCCGTTGCCGAGGGGAGCTCTCTGCACTGGAGCTGGATGAAAAATGTCCCTCTATCACACCTGACAATTTCCGCGGCCATGAAACATGCAAGCCCCACAGGGTGCCGACGCCTCATGCTCTGAAAGACCTTGAGCTGTAGAAACTCTAGGCAGGCACACTGCGGATTGAGGGTTTTTGCGATCTACGCATCAGTTGGACAAGAAGCGAACAAACCACTTGTCCCCGAGACTACATCTGAACTTGGAATTATGTGGTTCCCAGAACACCTTTATCTGAAGTCCCAAAATCCTAAACCCCGAACCTCGAACTCTAACTCTACAGAGAACCCCGTAAGCCTTATACTGCAGCCCCCAGCCCCTCACCCTAAACCTCCTTCACCACCCTGAGCCCGCAAGACCGAAGTCCTGGTTCAGATCCAAAGACCGGAAGACACCCTCCGCCGCCGGGCCCTTGACGGGCTGGGGCAGCTTCCCGAGCCCATTGATGAACCTTGGCAGCTTGGATCTTAGGGTTTAGAGTTTAGGGCATAGAAGGATGCTTATGACCTCCTTGCGAACCCCATACATCTGCAAAGTAAGCAAAGTACCCCTACTGCTATAGATGTTTTGTGGGGGCTTTGATGTAGGGTGTGGACGTGGGCATGCCCAAAATTTAGGGTCCCGTCTCTGGAGTCCTGGTAGCAAGGATCCGGGGATGCATGTTCATAAAACAAAGTCTGCCCAATCAGACCTGTTGTTGGTATAGAAACACGGCTGGAGAAAGGAAAGGCAAGCTCCAACCCTGACTACAGCAACTTGAGCTCGGGTTTAAGGTCGGTACCACGCCCGTTGCAAAGTAATGGGCTACAGTTGCGGTTTGCAAGGGGATCTTGAATCATGACTGGATGCCTTGAACCTGCGGCCACAGACACAAGACCACACTTCGGTCTGTCACAGTTCAGAGCACAGTGATGAGTCGGACGTTGCTTGGACAACGGTATATTTGAGATTCACCAAACTGTAGCATGACCCCAATCCAAAGCTTAGGCCCTGACTCGCCGTGAGCGGCGATGTCATCACGGTCGCTGTCAAAGCTGCGTAGTGCATGGGCGGGAGAGCCCTTGCCTTAAGAAACATCTTCGGCATGGAATACCACAAACGTGAAGGCCCTGTAAGTTAAGATGTTTTTGGAAGGTAGCATGTGAGCATCAAAGACGACTGGTCCCAATTGGGGCCCAGTTCAGAGTTGGTGGGCGGGGAGGAAGTTAGCTTCTGGCTCATCCATCCTACATAGTGAGAGTGCATTAACGCTTGATAGACATGCATCGCATGCAAGGGATGGAGCCTGCATCGCCCATGTGCTTGATAAGGTCCGCCATGGACACCTCGTCCTGCTTTCGCGGCCATCGGTTCAAGTTGACTATGGCAACAACTCAAGGGCCTGCGCCTAGCAGCTCCAACCTCAATCAGTTTGGAGAGGACAACCGCTCAACGAGGCAAGCTGTTGCTTTTGCGATCCCCTCCGTGCGCTAGGCCGCACAACACAAGCCCCCACGGAGACCCCCAAGCCATAAGATCAGGGTCCTTCCAGATTGGTGCAGGTGGCGGCTTCTCAACCTTGCCACGAGGACCTGGGCAAGCAACGAAGTATTATCCTGTTGAGACAGACAAGTGCCAGCAACTGCTGAAAAATGTTTTCTCTTGCCTTACCGTGGTTTGCTCCGGCATGCCTATGGTCTCCACAAGTCTTGGTGCCGTGCCGTGCTCGGCACGCTCTCGCTCGCGCTTAGCCTGCCACTGGCAACACTCGCATGGACCCCACCTCAGTAAATCCTGTTTCCATGCCATCCCGGAAAGGCCCATATTTGTCCCGCAATCGACTTGTTCATCATTCAAGAAGCCAGCAAAAATTCAGCGCAACGCATCATCTGGTCGACTGTTCTACATCATGACCGATCGACCAATGAAGCCGAAATGCCGCAAGCCCAGAAAATCAGGTTTGAAGATGGCAGCCGCACACCCATTGCAATCCCCTCTCTCCAAGAATTAACCCCGCCATAGCAATAGATAGATACCTCACATGCATTTCCTGTGAGGCGATTACAGGCTATCTCCGCAAACCTCACACACTGTTGGGAGTACATCATCAACAAAGAAAAACATGGCCAAGTATCGTTCTGCTTCCTTTTCTGTCGCCGAAAAAAGGCAACTCATTTGCCATACAGGAGGATCCGATCTTGTTTGCTCTGCTCCCAGCATCCGATTTTGTCCCGAACCCGGCCCTCCCCAACCCTAGACCCGCTGAACTCTGAACCATTTCTACCCTAACACCGCCCTGCAAACCCTAAACCCTAAGCCCTTGTAAACCCTCCCTAACTCCCCTAACCACCCCAGAACCACCAAAAAAACCCTAAACCACTGCACACCAAACTCCCTAAAGTCTAAAAAGCGACTGTTACTGAACTTTCAACCCCCCTTATACCCCTAGACATTTGCCCGGCTCAGCTCGCTCCCGGGCCTCTGCCTCCTTCCGGGCCGCCTCCGCATGGGGAGGATGACAGGCACACCGACTCAAAGTACTGTAATCGTTATCCAGGGGTGGAGGGATTCAATTCTTAGGGGCTGGCATGAATTCTTAAAAGGGGACTTCCATAGTCCCTTCATGCTCCTCACATTTCCTGGTTTAAAGGAGGAAGACGAAGAGGGAGGAGGAGAAAACAAAAGAGGGACATCATTCTGCAAACATCGCTGAACATTGCGGAGATAGCCTTTGGAAGGATGCGGTGTCCCAAATGGTCAACAGCGGGTCCTTCGGAAACTTTGCTGCCCTTTAGTTTAACATGGCTGAAATAAGCCATTTAAGGATTCAAGGCTCTGCGCCAACATACCTGCCCCTTGCCCTTGGTTATGCAGCACTGGCAAAACGAGCCTCCGCGTCCGCAGCAACCTTGGCCTGGGCTGCAGCCTGGGCTCGGGCTGCAGCAGCCTGGGCTGCTTGATCTCTCGCAACACCTGGCGTCGATGTCGTCGTCGTGGTGGTCTCCCTTGGACGCACCAAGGTGTCATGCTTCCATCGAGCGGCAACTGGCGAGAAATTGGGTTCTCCATATGCAAGTAAACGTTAATCATGGGCTCTTGCCATCAGAATATTGCTTTCAATTCTGAAATTGATTTTGCGAGCTTTGTTGTCAGTGGCGGATCTGCAAGGGCAGCCAGCTGAGGAGAGACACGCGCATTTCTGGGCCATACTAGCAACGCTAGCGGAGAGCCGTTTCCGATTGCAAAAACAATCCAACACGGAGACACGGATACCAGCGAACTCGGCAAGTAGTTACAGGATCAGAATGCAGTTGATCACGAACAGAATGCTCACGGGACTAGCACTAGTTTCACTAGTTTAATGTAAAAAAAAACACGGGCCCCTAGTAGGAGCCCTCAATCCTGCGATCCCTCTGTGCCTGGTGGAGCGCTAGACGCAAGAAGAATAAGGAGGACATAGGAATTTCCGAATATGTGGGTCCCCTTTAATACTCCCAATTACCATAAACCCTTTTGCTCCCAACTTTTGGAAACCCTAACCATCCCTAACCCCCATAATCCACTAGAACATCCAGCTTCCATGTCACTTTCCACTTGAAATTCCATTAGCGTGGTAAAAAAACCCTATACATCCCACAATGATCCGCCAAGCCAAGAGGCCAGTAGTAGAACTGGGGCTCTGCGAGGCCCTTGTTCCACTCCTCAGCAGGGCACCTACTGCAACCCATCCAATATATCGGGGGCCAGCCTTGACAAAAGAAGGCTCTATGGAATTAGGAGGGATTAGCACGTAACTTCTCAGAAGCATAACGTCAGAGTTTTGAGAGTCCTATGGCAAGTCTTTTGGCCGACGAGGTGGCTCAGAGCTAGCCACTTCTTGACTTAAATCTTAAAAGGACATGATCAATCTTTGTGATCTTCGAGCAGTACAGCAGTCTACAACATATATCTGTTGATACATCAGCCGCATGTGGAAGCAACCGGTGCACCTTTTGTCTGAGACGCTGAACATACAGGGGCTGGAGGGAGTGGTGGAGTGGATCCCCATAACAACCCCCATCTAAGCAACCTTACATGTGCCTGTATTCCTTCCACACGGCCCCTAGCCAAAGCCGAGGCAGGCGCTGCCGAAGTTAGCATGTCATCGCCGTTCTCATCCAAGCCTTTGAAAGCAAAAAGGACCTGCCCAGGCTGGTCTGGCAGGAGGTTAGGGGACATATAGGGATATGTACTGTGAGGATGTATGGGAATTTCTTTCTTTGCAGCTATATATCTATTTGTATATATATATATATACATAAGGAGGGGATCTAGAGGAATCTGCATAGGGTTCTAGGGATATTCCCCTGAACGTAGGGGAGACATGATATGGAAACTGGGCTTGTGCTGAGGTTATGTAGGTAGAAATATTTACAACAGCGGAGAATCAAATGGAAGCTACTAAATGATTTCGGGTTTAGGGCTTAGGGGACCAAATAATTGAATAATGTGGAGAATTGAGCTGGAAGCTGAGCGTGTACCAGGGTTCAGGGGGATTATTATAGAGAATTTAAAGCGGGGGCTTGAGGCACATTATCCTACAACTGCAGGAGAATAATCTCGGTAATTGTCCAGGCTTCTCAACTACTTGGAGGTTCGAGGCAGTAGAATCTACTTCAAGTCATGATATTATGGCTATACCTTGATTTTAACTTATCAAGACTAGAATTAAGGCCCTGAATCCCCGAGTGCACAACTGATTTCAGGGTTTAGGGGTTCATGTTGAAGCAATGTAGTACCCTTTGCGGGATCCTGATAACAATCCTAACCAAGGGGTACTACATCACGCTGGAGGGTACAGGTAAACCCTTACGTAACCCTAGACCGTCGGGTTTCAGGGTTCATGAGAACTTGCGTGCTTGACAAGCCTCTTGTCGCTGTCTTCAACTAGCTGCCCTGCACAAAAGCCCGCGAACATCACAGAAGGATACTCTGGTATTAACTCTCATAGAAAACATAGCGGCAAGCCACCGCACAATTCCATCCGCAGAGCGAGACAGATTTCAAGCAGAGCTGTTGTGCGCCTGTTCCTCCTTGACGATTGGCTCATCCAAGTCATTCAGAAACTCTCGGAATTCATCTAGGGCCTCAGGTGGCAGCTCGAGGACCTGTCTTTCTGACCAGAATCTGCATCTTCACGAAGTTTTGACGATTCAGGGCTGAGCTTGTGCCGTGCACCCAGGTCCCCCAAACGTGGCATGCTCAAGGACAGAAAATGTGACAGGTTGCAGGCTGCAAGCACACTCAGCGGACGGCCACATATCCATCCTGCGCCTTGTCCATGGCGTTGAACGCTTTGTTCGCGTCCTGAACTTCTCAGGCACATTCGCACTATCAGCATAGCTTGCTCCATTGGTTCTTGGCTGAATAGCCTCCCTTGGTTCTTGGCTGAATGGCCTCCCTGTGTGTGCAGTCATGCGATGATCAGGCATTTGCCGTACCGCGCGGTTCGCTCCCACTGCGCCCCAGCAACTCTAAATGGCCGAGCTGGACTCCTGATGCTCTGATGACAGCAGTCGGGATTCCTAAGCCCTGCATCGAACCTTTCGTGGTCCCTGCAAAGTTCATTACTTTCGTATGGGCCTTCTGCCGTGCAAATTTAATGCAAAGCAGGACATGTGATCAGTCGGGTACAGCAAACACAAGCACCTGATGCTTTCAATTGAGATTCCACAATCACTCCACCACGTGCATGTGCAGAGACTTCGCTGGGGATCCGGCGCCATCGAACTGGCCTCCCTCAAACACATGAAGGCCCTGGCAAAGATTTTAGTAGCAGAATTCGAACCCTTCCGAACACATAAGTCCACTGTCCCAAAGGCAGAGAGCCTGCGAGTCAACTGCCCGCAAAAACTTGAAACCCTGCCAAGGAATCCCTACCATAATGAAGATTCCCACCATAGTAACGTCCTAGACTAAACAGGGTGCATGACTAGGGGGCTTGATTTCTTGTTCATGTGGTGGGTAATAGTTTGCGTGCGATCGAACGCCCTAGTGCAGCTTAAAAAGTGCCGCTACGTAATTAGCACCATCTACTGAAGTACTTTTTGTTGTTGTCAAGCTGCTATGCCAATATGACCTCTTGTTGTCTTGACTTGATAATATGAAATGCAGGATTTGGGAATCCTGCTATGCGCGAGAAAGTGGCTACCTCGACGCATGTTGGCCCACAGAAGCCGCCGGAGCTGAAAATAGCAATTCAACCCCATGCCTCTGCGTAAAATCCGGCCCTGTTCTGCGTGCAACAGTGATGGAGTGTTCCTAAAAAGAGAGATTTCTTTAGGGATCCTGGTATTCATGCAGGTCCTGCAGGGATTCTTGGAATCTCTCTTGAAGAGCATATGTGGGTAGTTTCGAAGGTTTAGAGCAGCGTTGCTATGAACAACCTAAGTCCAAGAAGCCTTGAAGTCATCCATGCTGATGTATCCGACGTGGCGCTCCCAAGTCCTCAGCCAAGAGCTTCTAACAGGGCTTGGGGTGCAGGCTTTAGGCTTTAGAGCCCAAATGCCTCATGTCAAGCAGGCCTGCTCGCTGCTTGCCTGTATGGAAGCATCGCCGGTGACTATGTCCGGGGCTAGTTGGCTAAAGCATCTGGTCCTGTAGAATTGCTTTCATAAGCTTGTTCGTGCATGCAACCATGAATCACACTCTCCCAAGGAATTGACACAACGGGCGCCACAAGCAAGAAGGCAGAGGGGGGAGAAGGGTGTCCACCTTCAGAATAGAGAAAGCTAAGCTAGCCGGATGCCCCATCTTCAGGCAAAACCCTCGTCGACATTTGCCTCTTAGCCGAAACAGGCTTCCAAATTTCCACCAGCCATATGGGCTTTAAGTCGAAGCAGGAACTCAAAACCCAGATACTTCAATGCGGATGTGTCTTCTTGCAGGTCGCTGGATCTGGGGCTGCCACTTCACCCAGCCCAGGGTGACCTCAACAACAGCAGTCTTTTTGGGCCGATATGTGGGAGGTAGAGTTTCAGGCTCCCGTCTCCAGTTTTTAGGGCTTCAAGACAGAGACTTCCCAAAGTCTCAACTAGAGGTGCTCAACTTAGTCTCCAGCGCCGCAATCCAACAGACTAGCTTTGCAGCCGCTGAAAGAAAATGAGTTGACCCTGTGTCTCTGGAACTGAAGGAAAGTACGCTAGGTACCCGGATTGCTGTTGCTGCTGTTCCCCCCTGCCCAATGCACAGTGCCCCCACCACCAGCAGCGGCGGCGGTGGCGGAAGCAGTACTAGCACGTAGCACCACCAAAGCCCCTACGAGTACTTTGACTCGACCATGACTGCTGCTATCCGCGAGCCCTGAGGGCACTTACCAACATGCTCCCTTCATTGCGGGGGCTGGGCGGTCAAGATCCTAAGCAGAAGAGGGCTGACAAAATCGCAAAACCTTTGGTATATCACGGAAATGAGTGACATGACGAATTGATGTTTCTGTAGGGCTTTAGCGTGCGGAATCTGGGGTAAATGATTGATAGGGTGCTATTGCTTCTACTCCAGCTGCTGCTTCTACTACGACTACGACAACTACTAGCGCTACTACTTCAGAGTTGAGAGCATCAAGCTAGAGCACCAAGCTATCCCTCTAGCCACTGCGGCTGCTACAGGTGCTACTAAGCGGCAATGTCGAAAAAGGGCAGTGCCACCATGCACATGAGCAAGGCGCAGCCAAACGTGGCCACCAGCCCCAGTGTCACCTGGAACCATTTAGGCGTTTCTGTTATCGAGGACCCCTTTTGGGGCCCTTATAATAGAGATCCCTTTGGGCGTATACATGGCGACACAGATTTTGAATCAAATCAAGTGTGCAACGGGCTTGCTAGCATGCAGGCGCGGTGATATTGTAGAGTTGGCTTATTGCAACATGCGATACCCTGCCCGCAGTGCCTCACCGCAGTTGTCTAGCTTGTCCAGGTCCATGTTCTTGACATGGCCTGTGTCACGGCAAGGGCTGGGATTGCCAAGCTGTCCAGCCAATCCTTCATCAGATTCAGGTCCTATATACGAAGACCTTCTGCTCAGGACCACTAAACCAGCTGTCCTCAGGATGGTACGGGTTGACAGCCTGTACCACAAAAGCTAGAATGAATCGGCGGCAAGCTGTGGCCAACCTTATGCATAATTGTACCCGTTTGGACTACTAGATGGCAGGTCTGCATCAGACCGCGCAGTCCAAGGAGACTTTCGCACTCCTGCTAAATTGTAGGCATGACTTGTCAAAATCGCTGTGCACTTTTGGGGTCCTTTGTGTAATTAGACCTCCAATATGAGGGCTGGCCTTCACGACTTTGAAAGTCTCCCAGAGTCTACCAAATGAGTCACTAACCGCACTAATGCCCGAGCTGGTTAATAACGGCCTGCTTCTTGGTCAACAAGGCGCCGGGTTGTCTGTGCATCACACCTGCGCTGAGCAACAGGCCAACAAATCCAGCACACGGCAATGTAGATGCTTGAAAGCTGTGATGGCCAGGATCGGATGTGTACCCAGCATGCTACGTGACTCCGTGAGACTGCGCGCTCTGCCTTCTGCCAGCCTTCATGCCAATCCCGTGATGTTCCTCTCACGACATGGTGTTCTTGCCTCCTCCCCCACAAGCCGGCAGGCCATTACGAGTGCAAATTGTTGCTTTATGGCCTGGCCTTCATAGCTCGCTTGCAAAGGAGGCTTCACTCAACGTCTTCCAAAATCCCATGTCCGCCTCATAGAGGTGTTCCCCAGAGTTGCCATGACTAACCTGCAGTGGAACTTCGGCCACCGCAAGCCTCAGTCGACGAAGGGCGCACAAAGAATCGTGACCCATGGTCCATTTTCGCGCCACTGAACGCATGAAAGAACTCCTGGGGAAGGGTGGCTTGCACCCTCAATCAAGATCATTGCAAGGTATAGGGGTTTACAAAATCGGGGGCCCCTTTTCCCCAAGAACTTCAGGCGGGAGTTTCCAAATACAGGGGGAACCGAGCTCAAATACCCTTAAATACTATAATCCTTGCCCCGGGCCCCCGAAATAGGCACCCTAATTGTTTGAAACCCCCATGTCAATGACCATTGGCATGTCTACACACCTTGCAAGCTGCAGTCACTCCTGAATCGTGACTCCTGACGGTAGTTTTGCAGTACCACATGACTACCAATGCTACAGAACAGTTTACACCAACTTAAGAAGTGCGATTCCTGAATACTGTTCTGCTTATGCTCATGCAAGATGTGCAACGATGTGCAGGCATACGTCAAGGTCAATTCAAGAAGCCAGCCCCAGAAAGCCAACTCTCAAAGAGATGAAGCACGAGACACTCTAAAGCGGTCCCTGCTGAGAGCGCAGCCACTGTCCGGTTCAACACGTGGCCCCCCGTTTTCCTTAGCCCCAGCTTTGCTTGGGCCTGCAAATTGGGCGTGACAAGGCCATCCGGCTGGGCTGTCAAACTACTGATACACCCAGTCGATTCAGGGCATTTTTTGAAGCCGGATTGTGCAAAGCGAGCACGCTTATTTGCATCACCGCAGCTATTCACCCATGTGTGCAATTGCAGTTTTCCCATCCTCGCAGTGAAGCGGGAGTGTGGTAGCCAGCTTTCTACTAGCGTGGCTTCAAGAGGCAGTGCGCCTGAGACCGCCTGCTCCAAAGAGCCTGGATAACAGGCAGCCATGCACATGCAAATTGAAACAATTTCTCGGAACTTCAGTGGAACAAATGCTGGTCGAACATATGGTATCTGTCTTTTTGAAGCGGACCTGTGATGCTACTACTCCCTCAAAATCAGCACCGAGTGCTGTGTCCCGGAGGGGTGGAGGTCTATGCTCCAGTACAGCCAAAACAGCGCGGCTACGACAGGCCGTGTGAAATCTGCTGCAGGAACTTCTATCCTGCTAGCGGCATTATACTAAGCATGGTGTAGCGGTATTGCTGGAACACCTCGCAGAGTGTTGCTTACTGGCTGTATGACTGTATGAGGACACATGTATCTGGACATATGTATGTAACCCTCAATCCGTGAACCCCAAGCCCTCTCATCTCTCATCCTGTGACCCCACGATCATCAAGGCCACAATTCTGGCCAAAAACTCATCTCACAGCTCCGACTTCCGCGGGATCTTGTCGCCTGAAGCACGTCTCACGAAGTTGCCAGGTTGCAGACCTTTTCCATTCAAGGGTTGGACAACTGTTGCTATTGCCATTTGCCCATTTTTTTTTTTTCCTTCCAAAGGGGCCGGCTCTAAACCTCAAATCTGCTTGTCGACGCGGGTGTTCGCTGCAGGCCTAGACAGTGCGCTTCCTGGTCTGGCAAGTCCCAAGCAGCTATCATGTTGGAAGTGCTTACGGACGACTCTGGTTAAATTTCCTCCGAAATGTCTTCTATGTCAAACACAGGTCAAGCATAATAATGTGTGCACACAAAGCCAATTTTTACCCAGTCTACGCTCCCCTGAATGCCTGGCAATAGTTGAACTTAGTTGCACACTCGGACATATCATTGACTGCCACACGCACATCCGTAGCAGCAGCAGCAGCAGCAGCAGCAGCAACCCAGAGTTTGCCTCAAAGCCCAAGCCTGCCGAATAGCGACCGCAGAGGCCTGGACATCCCAGTGCCTGACCCTGAAACTCTGCAAGATCCCCATTGCGAGAAGCTCAGCCCCTAGTCCCATCCCTAAACCCTAAGACTCAAACCCTGACCCAGGGCACCCAAGATCTTGATCAGCTCCATCCTCGGTCGGCCGAAACGCTAAAAAGGAATAAAGCTTTCGGATTGGATTGTGGTTCCAAACCTCTGCTCAAATCCAGAATTTTGAGTCACCTCTCCCTAGTGACAAGCCGCATCCCACATTCCCTTTTAACAATTCCAGCCCAAATGGATATGAAGGGGAATGTCGATCATTTGGGGGTGTGGGGATTCATTATGAAGGAAGGGGATGAGGACGGTGGGAACATGATCTCCTCTCAGCAATTGGGCATACCAATGCTGCTGCCAGGATACTGAAAGACCAAAGCAGCGTTCGGGGGAATCCTTCCTCCTGCGCCGCGAGTGCCGTAGGCCTGAACTGCCACGTCAAGTAGGGCTTACTGGGATATTTCGGGATACAAAAACTGAGAATGTAGGATTTGTTGCGAGGTCCGCCTCTTTGTGTGAGATGGTTGTCTATGTTTGGGCATATGCTTGGCTACACCACGGCTTCACTTGGAAAGGGTCGTTTGACAGCATGCGGTGGAAGCCTCTGAGCCAGCGTCTGGGCTACATAATAACAGTGGCAGGTTCGAATTAATACGCTCTGTGAGGCATCAAACTTTCCAGGCAATGCTTGCTGTGAATTCAGCTTCGGTGACTTAATCTCGACTGTTTTGGCGGGTCTATGCAGGCACCAGGACAGAAACAGGTCCCACAACTGGTTGCTCACCGGTTTATCATTAAACATGAAATGTTGATTTTGATTGAGCTTACATTTGCGAAGCTGAAAAAACCCGCAACAATTACCTGGGCAAGTTCAAGCTGCCAAGCGACATGTTGCCAATTCAATCCTGGCCAAAGCCATGACTTTGGCGCGAACATGTGTCCAGCGCTATCTTTCTGTCATCTGATTAGAAGCCAACCTATTGTTCGTGTTTCAGTCTGAATCCATTGCTCGCGTTCTTGATTAAACACAACTTGTTTGTTGGATCTACAGTCTGTCTGCAGTGGCTCTCTGAGGCTGGGCTGCGGCTGGGGAGCAAGTTCGGACGGAATGTACATCTCCCACTTGTCGCCCTCAACCATGAGCTGCATGGCCTCTGCTCGTCTCAGGATACTCAGGAGAAGCTCCTACTTTAGGGCACAGAAGGTGCCCTCTGCAAAGCTGGTTTCAGATTGGAGGTGACTATACGGAGCCTTGCTTTCAATGCTCCAAGGAACGTGTATCTTACTGGTGGTTGGTAGGGATGAGAGAGTAGGATAAAGGGACAAGTAGAGGAGATTCCTTGCAAACTACAAGAGGGATCCGTTCCTTCATTGCCTGCTGCCCACCAGTACCCAGCTGCATCACACCCCTCAACCCTAAATAAAGTAGTCATTTCCATGATCTTTTCCATCCCCCCTGTATATCCTTATCTATCCCTGTACAGCCCTATAATAGAATCCTGCAAATCCCTCTCTATACACAAGGAGGAGTCCAAGCTTGCTTGTGCAAAGGTCTTTCGTGTTGCCCCTGCCATGTTGCAAGCCTATCAAACTCTTTGACGGCGTGCGTGCAAGCATAAATAATGGCTGGGAGGGCGAAGTTGGTAATGGACCGCAGGGCCGTGAGTTGCCGGCAGCAAGCAGCAAGTAGCTGGAACCAAGCGTGTGTCATGTAGTTAGCTCGTTGTAGAAAGGAGACGGCAGCAGCAATTGCCAGCAAAACATCACCATCTGCGTATTGTAGTGCCGCATGTTTTGTCATGAATTACCGCTACCTCCAGGGCCCATATTGAGAATAGCCGGTGCGGCTATTTACAATAACAACCCGCTCGAAAAAGGACCCCTTTTCTTAGGATGTACTGTTGGTTGATACTCACATCCTGCATGACCTTAGCATACAATGGCACCATGCAATGATTCCCAAGGTCTAGGGTATAGGCTTAGTGTCCTGCAGGATTTTGGTATCAACCGTGCCCATATCAAAGCGGCAATCTGCAGGTCATGTGTTGATTTGTCAAGCAGCCTCGGTCCAGCCGGCAATGACCTGACACCAGGGCAGGTTTCGGTACCGTAGTGCTGGAATAACTCTAGGCGCTTTCAGGGGATTGTGCATGGATACATATGGTGTAATCACATTCAAAGTCAATTGGAGAAGGGGCTAATCTAACAATAACGGTCCACGGCAATTGTCATGTAGCACATTGCTGTTTGCACTGTAGGAGACTAACGGATTAAACGCGGCTTCGGGGCATATTATAATTTCCAAATAATGATAGCATTACAGAAACCCAGATGCTTGGAGTGTGTCTACCTAACAAATTAGTTACCAAGCATGGAGGCTTCCACGATTGTAATCGTGTTGAAATGACCGTGCGCCGTGAGCCCTTCTTATGCACTTTTGGACTTAGATAAGCATATGCCAGGGGTTAAGCACATTACTTATTACTACAAGGAACCTGTTGGCCACCCCTTGCCCACCATGTTTTTAGAGTAATTGGCTCTCAGGGCCTCAGCATTTTGCCATGCACCTCTCGTCATAACATGCGCAGCGATGCGCACTATACTGGGGAAAACAATTATCGCATTGTTGAATGAGCCTTGCAGTTCTGCACTGGGAGGATCTTTTTTCGGGCCAGACGAGTCGGAGACGAGCAAATTTTCTGACGTGCTTCCAGACTTCCTGGGCCTGGTTGGGCTTGAAGGTTGTGGGCTTGCCGCGCTTGAAGGAGGAGTCGAACTCCGTGCCATCGATGAGCCTCTAGTAGCAGATATCATGATGTTACAGCTCGGTGAGCAACTGCAGTATCAGCCACTGTCGTCGTCCGTTGTTATTTGCAATGGTGGTGAGCTGGTGGCAATGGTGGTTGCAGTTGTGGTGCTTGTGATGGTGATGATGGTAGTCGTGCGTGTAGCAGAAGCAGTAGCATTAGCAGCAATAGTTGATGGCAATGGCTCAAGCAGTAGGAATAATCGCCGCCTTCAGCAGCCGGAGCTTCTTGATGATGATGGTGATGATGATGATGATGCTTAGAAGATGATGAGGATGATGATGACGCTGGAGCACCCCTAGCAGCGAGCTTTGAAACCGCAACCGCAGGAACAACGGCAATGATGGCAGCCAGACGCCACAATATCCATCACAATAATACACAGAATCAGAACCTAAAAGGATGATTCTCGTACAGGGCATTAGGTTGGAGGCTCCCTACCCCCGCAGAGAAGTCAAAACCATCTTGCAAGGGCTATGAGGAAGTGCGGCATGCGGTTTGCAACGCGCACTTTCATAGCTCTGAGACAATGTCCTTGTAACTCCTCTTACTGTCGCTATGATCTTGTTCATGCCTAACATTGCCTGATCCTTCTGCCACGGCGCGCGCCGCTGTAGTGGCACTCGCAGGATGTTGCCTTTGTGGGATGGAACTCGCCAGTGCCCTTCTTCAGGACCTGCCACAGCCAGCAGGTCATGAACACATCCTTGCGCGGGAGTACGCATGGTGAACGGACTGGCCACAAGGGGCCACAAGGAGTACTTACGGTGAAGGGTCTTTCGATCCTAGCTCAAAGGGCACCCTCCGCCTGCCGCACATGAACCTGCCCCCCCAAAACGGACCTATTACTGTTGCTACTAGTTTGCTCTTAGTAATATTCCACACTGTTGCATCCATTGTAATTCCAGTAGCATTACCATAATTCATCATGCTTCCTACTAATACTCTTCATTTTATTCTTCCTAAGAACCTGATCGTTTTTGGTGGCTGCACAAAGTAAGGTTCCCTTGTTTGAAAAATACCATACCCCAAAAGAGGGTATGATTTTACTTCATACCGGGGAGTATATCACCCCCCAAATAAAGGACTACTCATATGGTAGTTTCCGTAAATAGGGGGACCCCAATATGGATCCCCAAAAGACTATAATCCTCATTATAGGGACCCCCAAAAGGGTACCCCTAATTTTGGGAACCCTTAATCCCTATAATCCCCTATATAATCCCAGTGTCCATTTCATTTTCCATTTTCTTTTCCATTTGATTCTCCATTATAGTAGGTACCCCATAATAGTTTTCTTCGTCTTTTTCATTCCCAACTGAAGCCCACGAAGCCGAGGTCCT